GTAGTAGTAGAGTAGTAGAGAGAGAGAGAGAGAGAGAGAGAGAGAGAGAGAGAGAGAGAGAGAGAGAGAGAGAGAGAGAGAAAATATAAAATGACTCCGAGGGATTTGCCCTCTTACGGCCATCTAGCCGGTTTGGAAGGGGGCGGTAATAATAAAGAGCGGGAAAAGTGTAGCGCGGATAATAATGATCAACATTTAGTCGATGAATAAACGATGTATGTGATGGCGATCAATGCTTAGTGAATTTGTACGAGACATCCTTCGATGAGTTCGTACGTTTGGTAATAATTCACGCATTTCCACTAGGCGCCGTTGATAGTCGCGCTTTGTTATTGGACAGTGTCAAAAATTGTACGTCTTCGCATGCGCTGTCGCAATTCGCGCGTTTTCGCTAGCGCTATCGTTAATTCGCGCGGACCTTTCTAGACGTCGTTACTAGTCCGCGTCTTTACTAGTCTTTACTAGCTTTACCGTTGCGGCAATTCACGTATCTTCGCTAGTGTCCATTACGATTTCCGTTAGTCGTCGATTAGCCGCCATTACATGTATTGGGATTTCGGACATTTCCAGAAAGAATATCAGGTAATTACATCGCAATTGCATCGTGTTTTAAGAGACAGAAATGCCGCGAATGGTGATAAAAAATATACGAACTGCTACACAGATCGCCTTGCATTAATTCCGGTATGCCACGCACAATGGCAATAAACGTTTCGAATAAAAGCATCTCTAACTTTGTATAAATGTATGATATCATGAACTTTTGGCGCGTTTGCTAGTTTGCCGAACGATAATCGCCGTGTACACGGATTTCGGGAATGCCGAGAAAAAGTATCGGGCGAGTGCTGTGCGCGTGATAGTTTTTATCGAATAATAATCGTCGCGTACACGGATTTCGGAAGTGTCGAGAAAAAGTATCGGGCGAGTGTCGTGCGTGAGTTTTTATCGAATAATAATCGCCGCGTACACGGATTTCGGGAGTGTCGAGAAAAAGTATCGGGCGAGTATCGTAAGTGATAGCTATTATCGAATAATAGTCGCCGCGTACACGGATTTCGGGAGTGTCGAGAAAAAGTATCGGGCGAGTGCCGTGAGTGATAGTGATAGTGATAGTGAGTGAATATATCAGCCGACGAGAAAGAAGCAGCGAGATGACGATTGGTGAGTCCATATGCACATACATATATAATAAAATTATACATTAAATGTAATTTATTTATTGATTGATAAGATTTTATAATAATATATATAATATAATCATAATTATAATAATATAATCACATTTTTTGATGTTTAGAGAGAAAATGGAATAAATCAGCCGATGGGAAAAAGCTGCAGGACAACAACCGGTAAGTCTATATATCTATATATAATAATTATAACTAATTATTACATTTAATATGTATATATATGTGTGTGTTTATTAAATATGTAATTGTACATCATTTTTTATGCACTGTTAAAATTAATATTACAAATATTATTTTAATTACATGAAAATTATTGAGATCAGATTTTACAAACAATCGTATACAGACATATTAAATTTTATACCGAAAGTGCAGAATTTCTTTTTCTATAAAATACATACCGCTGAAATAAGTGTAGTATGTAATTCGATGTAATTTAATTAATAGTAACGTAGTAAACATTAATTGACCACCGGAATTTATTGCGGCTATTCTATATAATCCGTTTATGAGTAACCTAAATCACGATGACAATTAATATTATTGATATAATTATTATTACTTTATAATTTATCGTTATCATCATTATCATTTGTTTAATCAATAATAGATTTAGATAATGTTATAATTACAGGAAATGCAAATGTAAATGCATGATTTCTCATATACAATCAAAAATTAAAAAATCACAAGAATTTTTCATAAAATTGAAGAATTTCGTTTAAAGTACATGATACATTAATTAATATCTAATTTAATAATACTCGACAATTATTTGTTAATATATTAATCTTTGGATTGTTTGGATTCGTTTGGATCAAAATCTTTTCTTGATTTCTTGTTTTTAATTATTTAGATGCATTTTAAACTCTCTACTTTAAACGCACCGTACATTGACTACACTTATATCAATGATATGTAGATTTAATGAATAAAAATTTATTCATCGAGATCAAAGTTCGTATTTTAAAGTTAATTAAAAATGCTTCCGAACTATATATGCGTTCTAGAATTAATTTGCGTCGAGGTTTAAAAAAAAAGTGCGACAGTTTAGATCCCGTAAAAGCTCGTCCGTGATAATCGTCGAGCATTAACGGCGAGGAAATAGTCGCGCGCGCTGCGATTTAGAGAACGGAGTGCTTGTGCAGCAGCGAGATACGCGAAATCGACAAGCACGCTCTCTTGGACTGGGATCGTTTCATTATTCAGCGAGCCCGCATGCAGTAACACGCGTCCTTCTCGGAATTCTCGTGCGAGTGAAGCAGGCGAGCTGGTCCGTGTACGTGCTTGGCTTTTTTTCCCCTCGTAGCTTCATTATGTATAGGGTGCCGGTCAAGCTGCTCTTTCGCGAATAGTTACCTTCCACTCAGATTGCTCTTCCCGATTAAAAGTTACCGATCCAATCTTGCTTTTTTGGATATTGAAGCAAACTTCAAAAGATAGTAGATTGGGCGACCAATAGTTAAGAAGCTAAAATTATTGTAATAGAGAAATTAATACCGTATGCGCAATTGTTAAGCAAACGGAAGAGGAATATCTTATCGCGATAATGAGTTTACTGTAACCTTTCATTCAAATTGTACATATTTGCATGTCCGATTTAAATGAATAGTAATGCAAAAAAAATAAAATAATTAAAAATAAAAATTATATAATAAAATATTTTTGATATACTTATGTTAAAATATTGAAAGATATGGAAATAATAATTTTTCAAACTAGAAATTAAATTGAAAATTTGCTATTGCGATATTTAGTTTGTTTGAGAAAATAAGATTATTTATAAATTGAGCATACGTAATTAACAATTTCGAGATTTACACATTTAGTTAATTGTTCCTTAAATAACGACAGTACAATTCGCTTTTAAGATAAGTAAATGCGGTAGGCATAAGCTAGAAATTAGCTTGCGTCAGCGTTTGCGGTTTACGTAAAGCGCGGCACTTTGTATGCGTGTTTTGCTCGCTTTGAAGCACGAACTTAGTAGTTGACTGCACGTGAAGCGACGGAGAAGTTTTTAAGTCGCGTGAGATTTCGCGCGAACTCACCTCGCGCTGGAGTCGATTACGTTTCCTCGGGACGGATCGGGAAGTGCATTAGTTCGACGACCGTGTCTTGGTTTATCGGTTATCGAGTTACGCGCATCGTGGATCGATATACGAAGCCGTAAATTATCGCTCGGTGGAGCTTGTACTTTACGCCCTGCCAAATCGAGATTTCTTTCTATAAAATAGAGTTCTAAAAAGATATAAGAGATCGGAAGTGCAGCAGTTCTTTATTTCGCCACGCTGCAAATTTTTGTAATGTAAAGACGTAGTTTAAATTGTTAAATGGAAAGATTTCAATTGAAATTTTACTGTGAGCAAATTTATCTGAGATCCAAGATCTCTGTGCTGCTTTTATAATTATTTTCATTTTTCGGACATTAAATTGACCATCATGTCGCGGTAGAGGAATATTTCTGAAAGTTTCCTGACTGCGTAAACGAGAGGGAAGTTATTAATCTCCAGGGTAGGGAGGTGCGGAAGTAATGTCTCTTAGTTTGTGCGCGTTAATGTGCCCGCTCGGAAAAAGAGAGATCAACGGGAGATGAAGCTCGGCATGGAAAATTCATACATTTCGTGCTCTTGTACCCGACCACTTTTCCGCTGTTCTCCTTCGTTCCCTTTTTCTACTGCTTGTCCCTTTTTCCATCGTCCCTGTCGATTTTTCTCACTTTCTTTCTGTCACCGCTCTCTCTCTCTCTCTCTCTCTCTCTCTCTCTCTCTCTCTCTCTCTCTCTCTCTCTCTCTCTCTCTCTCTCTCTCTCTCTTCTCTCACTCCATTTTCTCATCGGATCGATAAAGGCTTCAGTTTACAGAAATACTTTTACCTCACAATTGCATGCATGACGTAATATCGCAAATAACAGTCTCTCTGAAAAAGGGGATCGCGCGTTCCGCTTAGAACCGATCATTAAAGACGATATAACGTAAGCCCGATCGGAAAAAAACCTTACATTTATGTATTTTTGAGAAGATGCAGTTTTAAATATAATTTTCAATGGCTGTTAGTTAAACTAGGCTGTAATCTCTCGTAATTATATATGAAATTATCACTTTCTCTACGCAAAATATATTTGTCAGTTTATCGTTGCTATTGCGTTTAACCACTTCGCTCATTATCATTATGCATTAATTTTATAATTAATTAATCGGCGTGTGTTCTAAAACAAGGATGATCGCGCGGGGTAAGGTTTGACTAATCGTCCAATCAATTAATGTAATGACGGCAGTCGAAATAAAGTTTCCCCGGAGAGGTATTCGTTTGCACGTACATTAGCGACTCGCGTTTAAACTAGTTTCACAGCACGTGTAAGATAGTGTACACAGCTATGATTAAGCGCGCGGCGTATACAAAGGCTGTCGTACGTGGTTGATAAAGGCTCTAATGTTCTCGCAAAATACAAGATGATAGACACCTCTGTGCGATATCAAAATTAATAATGGTTTTTCGATGTTCATTATTATACAAGGATTTTAGTTGATGTAGCAACATAAATTACACGGGATGCAAAAAGCGCATGGACTTTATTCAATGCAAATTTTCTCTCGACCGCATTAATTTCGCCGTGAAAGAAACATTGAGATATTTCTAACTGGATTGGACTGGATTCTCTACGATAACGCGTTTTATTTTATTATTCGTACGTGCGGCGGTGCTTCAGCGAGCCACAGCGTCGTCACGAAAGTTTTTAAACGTGAATTAACAGTCTGCTAGTGCAACGGCGTGTCACGGGAATAAGAATAACAAAAATCTAGATCTCGCTGCCCGCTCCCGTTCTTTCTCGCTTCTCCCCTTCGCAAGGCACGCAGGGAGGCAGGCAGGCAGGCAAGCAGGATGAAAAACTTGGCGCCGGCTTTGACCATTAAGTCCTTTCCAGTACCAAGGGAGAATACTTGGGTATACCTGTGACCCACTCTTCGCCAAGTCGTTGGAAAGTTTCTCAACAAACGGAACTCTTTATAATTCACTGATTCTTCTCGTTCGAAAGTGTTTTCAGGCCGCGCGATCGTTATCACATAATCAAAGGACTCGACCTCCATCGTAAGGCCGCTATTCAATAATTGCGACTCTCAAATTTAATACACCAAGCGTTCCCGCTCTTTGAAGTCGAAAGTTGCGTAATCACTGCGTTTGCCGCGCGTAAACATAGTGAAAACAAAGGATTTTGATTACGTAAACTACACGCTTTTGACGTCTGTTTTCAGTGTGCAAAAACTTCTGTTGCCGTTGCAACATATACATAAATTACACGTTTCGCAGAGACAATTGTACAAAATATTATATAGTTGACAATGCAAATTCGATTGAATACAGCATTGCGAATTTTCCCCGTATTTTTAATTAACGTGAGAAAGTTGCTCGTGGTTGGTGCTTGTAGCGACGAAAACGCCGACTTCCGAAGCTATAACTTAATGCATCGTTAATTTACGCGCGTACGTAAATACGCAAAGTAAAGCGGAGAGATTTACAAGGCACTCGGAGTTTTACATCGCCGGCGCCGGCGGATAAGAAGTTTCCTATTAAAACGAACTGGCTACGAACTCGGTCGGGAAACTACTGAGCGCGGTTAAGATAGTTGAAGAAATTCTCTCAGACTTATTTTTGCACAATTAATAATTCAATTTGTATGATTTTTGTGACTCGCGAATTTCACGAAATCGATTTACCAGCTACCAGTTCCTGCATTCGCTTACGCGTGTCCTCTCTCGTTATGCCGGACTTTCGCAACACAATGTTGAATTTATTTTAATTAATTTGCTCTGTCATATGGCTGCGCGCGTACGAACGAACGAAAATCTTGCATGCGTAGCGACAAGCGTGCGTTTGATACGCGTGTTAATCGAGCCGTTGCTGCCAGCCAAACGACCAACAAAAAGAGATCGGTCGCAGCTACATCGCGCAGCAAATTTAATTTTTTTCGCGTGTTACCCGCCCTTTGGTTTATTTTATGCTATAGCGATATCTACGTGCGTTGTTTGTTACACACAAATGTTACCTATAGCCGCGATATACCGTGTTTGCTCTATTGCTTTTCCAGTATGTCGCATCGCATTGTGCGACGTGTCCGTTGACTGGAAATGATTAAAAAATGCTCGCGTCATGCACTCTTTTTTTCGTCGTGACCTACATCGCCCCCGTAGGCTATAAATATATATATGTATGTATACGTTGCCCGCGCTCTATAACTGACAACTGTAGACGACGGAAGTATCAACGCGTTTTTGGCTATCGACACGATGGCACCGACTAGTTCGTGAAAACAAGATCAAATACAAATGCCGTACTTTAAAAAAAAAAAGCGAGAAAATAATTTATACACTTGAATTTGCGAGAAGTGTAACGAGTGAATGTTTCCAAAGAGTTCAAGAGTTCAAGCGTTCAAGAGTTTTCTAAAATTCATCAAATACTGCAAAATGCTGGTTTAATGATAAAAACCATGGATTTTTGCCCTCGTCAACTTTTCAATTATACCTCGAACCTGGCAAGATTTATTTCATCCATCTCGTGGAGGAAGCCAACGTCGCGAAAATGACGCAGGATACATTCGCGTAGTGGCGCGCTGTCAGATTCCGGAGAAACGATTGTCGGCGTGGCGTAAAGAAGTGTGCACCGGTTACCACACGGTTGATATACAGAAGCCCGACAGGTTTCGATGGAAACGGAAGTACAGATAGCCTGCCTCTTTACGGAAATGAAGCAATCGCCGAGAGCCGGGCGCGGCGGCGGTCTTATTGCCTTGCCAGACTGTCGTAATGCCGGGATGCCATTGACGCCTTCTCCATCACGCGAAATAAGCTCGAACTTCCAACCGGGAATAGAAATTTATGCGCCAGAACGGAAGCACATAAACCTCCCGGCCGACCAATAAAAACTACGTATCTGGTCGCAGTATTTCAGGAAAATGTAGCGAGCGTGAGGTACTGTGAAAAACGATGCCGTTACGGAAACTTGTTACGTTGCCGAACGAATTGATTTAGCGTATTTGTACCAGTCTAACGATGATACCGGTGCTCAATTAACAAACGTCGATTATTTTTCCGAAGGGGTGAAAGTTCGTCAACGCTGCTCCGTCCATTAGATCGGATTCGCCGGCGATTTGCGTACACAAACAACGGATCACCGCTTGCCGTTCATATTCGCCTGAAACGAGGTCTCTCTCCACCCCTTTCTCTCTCTCTCTCTCTCCGCTCTTCTGCCATTTATTCGTAGAATATGTAAGGAGCCAAGCGCACAAATGACCTCATCTCAAGAATTAATGAATAGACGAAGGGAATCGTGCCAGCCATCGTAGGTGGGGCACGTAGTGCGGATAAAATTTTCCTTCGATTGATCCCGGGGAAAATCTCTGCGATTTTCGTGACGATGCCGTTCGACGAGTCGGTCATCCTGACATGTAATGCATTCACCGCGCTGCACCGCTGCCAAGCGTTTCCCTTAATTCTTTTTCTCCTCTTCTTTCTCACCGCGTCGCTCACCGACCATGACGGGGATAAAAGGAGGGTAAAAGAGGAGGGCGACCGACCGAGAACGTGGGAAGATAAAGAGGAAACTTTCGAAGCACTTGAAATACTTGGCGCTTCGGAATTCACTGATCTCCGCGCGACGAGGTAAATCTGTCGACTAAAGAATCTTTCATCCTCCTCCATTCTCCACCTCTGTCCGACCGGAGTTTAATCAAGATTTACTCCCAGTAACCGTGGATCTCTCGCGTATGGGGATGAGAGAGAATGTCCACTTCATTTCTTTTCGCGTTGTTCTGTACTCTTTTCAGTTCTAAACTTATAAATTTATTACATTTTTATTTTCGGTACCTAGATTTAAAATTTTTTTCATGAACAATTTACGTTTTTTAATTGCAAATGACATGTCGATAAATTGTGCAATTTTCTCGTTAATCTAATGCTCGCACACATTTGCTTTATTTTTAAAAAGCCGAAATATTTGCGGACATTAGTTTATAATGCGGAAAATGGAAAATGTCTGATTGTACGAGGCTTATGGCAAAGGCAATTTCGGTCATTAATGATTGATCAACAGTTTTTAGTTTAATTCCCTATGCTGTGTGTGTGTGTGTGTGTGTGTGTGTGTGTGTGTGTGTGTGTGTGTGTGTGTGTGTGTGTGTGTGTGTGTGTGTGTGTGTGTGTGTGTGTGTGTGTGTGTGTGTGCGTGTGCGCGTGTGTGTATGAGTTAAAAGCCATACTCGACTGCGCGAAATGAATTCCAATTTCGGTCGGAATAAAAGTATAGTCGTATGTAACTATAATGAAAGCAATTCGTATGAATAATATTTTATCTTTTTTTAGAATAAGACTATACTCGTAAAAAAATTTAAAAGTTTTCAGTATTATTAATAACAAAGAATTACAGCAATTACATTGAGATTTTATAAAATTTATCAAAGGATTGGATGGAAAAAGAAATAGAAAATTTTATTTGCCAAAGATCTACTTATCAATAAAATTTGATTTTTAAACTTAGTTATCAGTATATTGAGAACTGAGCTTTATTGTAACATCGCAAATAAACCTGACGTCCAATCATAATTTTGTTAGCAGCGAGTCATTTTGTCTGACAGCTCTATAATATACTCGAGATTTTTCCCTAATGAATATCGGTCATGAGATTTATCTTGTGACACCACATTCTCAATAAAAAGAGATTTATCTAGTTTAGCACGTGAATTGTTCATCAATCGTGTTTTACCGGGACGTCTGGATACGTTTAATCGATTGTCACTTTAGGGAAGTTGCGCCGTATGCGTGTGTCGATCAAATGTCTCCCCGATACAACCGGCGTATGTATACGAATCCACGTGCAGATGATCACACCGTGCCTAATGAGCGTCGACGATAATTTAGGGAGATTTTCTTGTGTAACATCGCTGTTATCGGTTTGCATCGTAAAGAGGGCTGTAACATCCAATGGACACAATGGGCTATATTCTGCATCGCGCACGCTTACCGCTAAGTGCGGCGGCTATTTTCTTGTAAGTTTTAGTACCGCATTTAGGAATGTTCCGTGAATCGATCGTAAATAAAAACTCAGATTTAGACTTACGTCTAGACGATCTGAGTGATCGTGTTGCAACAATGAAATATTTCGCAGCTTTATATCCGCGAAAGAAGTTTTTTGAATATACAAATTGTGTAATATTAATATTTCATGTCGGATCAAAAATTACTTGCTTAAATGATGCTATTTTTGGCTATCTTGGCTAAATGCGTAATCGTTCACTGGTTATCAATTTTTTAATTATTATATTAATTTTAGATCTCACTCAATATTTCAGCAAAGTAAATTAATCTTTAATTTTTCGTCTATTAAGTCTTGAAATTATGGACTCTCTATCTGTCATATAATTAATCAATCTTCTTAATAACAATATCACCTGTTTGCGCTGAGGCTTTAAGAGCCTTCTTAACTACCGATTCACGATAATTACAAGTTGGGATGAATTCGCAAAAATCAGACTATGCCTACGAAATAAAGGAAAATGCAAAAAGACGGGAGGCTGGAAAAAAATAAAATCGAGATAGAGAGAAGGGGGGAAACCAAGAGAGAGAGAAGGAGAGAAGAGAGAGAGAGGAGGGAGAAACTGGGAAGGAGTTGCATTAGTTAATTAGATTGGGCAGGAGGCGTGACGTCGTAATTATTGCAACGTGGCTCTAGCTACTATGCTTGCCTGCCTGCCACCCTCTTGCTTGCTGCCTACAGGTCTGCCTGCCTGCCTGCCTGCCTGCCTAGCTGCCTGCCTGCCTAGCTGCCTGCCTGCCTGCCTGCCTGCCTGCCACGACAAAGTTATTAATTGCTTCCTACCATTCCAGCAACGCTTCGCACGGGCAAACCCTCGACCCCAACTCCGCGCGCGCGAAACGTTCGTTCGCTGCTCTATCCTCCACCCTCGTTCGTTCAACATCCACCTACACGTTCGTGTAATCGCTATCGCTATTCGTCATTGCGCGCTCTCGCTTGCGAAGGGTATTCTTCTAACGGACAGCTTGCCACTGCCGCCGTTGCTTAATGGCTACGTATGACTAGAGCTCACGTGAATTGCGACGCAGTTTTCAAATTAATTTATCTACTCGCGTGAATTGCCCCGATAGTTTTCAAATGTATCCGTTTTAATGAGCTACGCGGAACGTCTGACGGATGCAGTGTTTTATTATTGTGTCACAATTGTCTTGCTTCTAATTCCGAGCATTTTTTATATAGCGTTTATTATTCACGCAAATGCTTCGTTCATTTTTCATTATAAATGTGTCATTGAATTTTTAAGATTTATACGGAATATATTTGCATGTATAGCAATCTAATATCTCTCGCAGCGAGTTTACGGGACGCAGTTTGGGAAGGCGCAACAAGAAAATGTCGAAACTAGAGTGCATACGGTATCTTAACTTCCGCGTATTATACGGCAAACTTGCCGAAAGTTGCCTTATCAATCATCACGCGGCGGAAACTTATAGAAAACGCCGAGCGCGTCTGCATCGTGATTTATAATCTTCGATAACTTTTGCGTAAAAACGGAAGACGCCTTGCGCCACGAGAAGCTCAACTTCGTTGTACGCGTTTCTAGGAGATGTAGTCCTTCTTTCATTTTTTTAATTTTTTATGTATTTTTTTTATTTTTATTTTTATTTTTTTTTTCTTTTTCTTTACGCCCACAGTTAAGGCAGACGCCAGACCACCTGCGGGGTCGGAGATAAAGTGATAACGTTGACGGGCGAGAGCTCGACGATCCCGCCTCCGAGTGCATCGCCGATCCGAAGGTAATTTTAACCGTCAACTGCAGCCAGCAACGCTGGTATCGCCATTAAAGCGCAATTTTCAGCAGCCAGGTAAAAAGACGTGGAGCTTTTTGTGACGTCGCCGTCAGGTGTGCACTCAGGTAAGTGGATAAGGATGACGCCGCGGAAAGGTAAAAGCGCGGATCCAACGTGTAGATATTACGACGTGTATTTTTTGCGAAATTTTTTTGACATCAAACCCCCTAATCTTCGATGCAATTTTTATCTCGCGCTCCGAATTATTAATAATCTTGATTGACCATTCGACTATTTAATAATCACGATATTATTGAAATATTGTATTATATGTCGCGGTACACTATCAAATGAGAGTGCTGCAGAAATAATTCAATAATTCAATATTTTACGCGATGTTTGAACGATCGGTTAGTTTAACGAAATAAGTATAATAAATTTATAGACATTTACAAATGCATTTCGCGAAAGTCTTATAAATTTAACAGGCATTCTTGCTAAAAGCAGAAATAATTAAAAAAAAAAGTCCAATTTGATCGTTTCGTCCTGATCGCTCAACTCGTATAGCATGTATGTAAATTAAAAACGAGCGCCGGCATACATGCGCAACGAGCCGCGTAAAATAGAATACTCTATTTTTTACACGGTACGATCTCGGGAACGGCGCGGGAGTGGCATTCCAATCAACAAAAGGACAGTTACGAAACAATTCGTCCTTTTTTTTCCTCTCGTTCAATTTTTGCCGAACTTTGCCGTTTCCATCGCGTCGCATCACGCGCCCCGGCTTGTTGGCAGGACCAACGTGGGACACGTTGCAATCGTACGTGACGTTGGCGCGATTGGCACTTACGAGTACCTCGATCGGATATCGCCGTTCGCGTAGAGATCGTGCGTGCGCGGGCGGAAAAATGACTCGTCAGATGGTAACGACACAACAAAAACCAATATTCACCGCGATATCCTCGCTTGTACATGCGCTATGAGTTCAATTTCGCGTAAGTCCGCGTGAGCATCATACCACGGTTCGATTCTCTACGACAAAGAGCCATTCCATCCAAAACAATCAAGGTGTCTCATTAAAATCCCACTAGACAATCTCTCTCTCTCTCTCTCTCTCTGTATTAATCCCCAATATCAAACTATAGTGAAGTCTACAACGTCGATCTACAACGTCGATCTACAACGAGCGATCTGGAAAAGTTAATGGAGAAAAGTTTTTCAAAAATTTTTTGCACATGTGCAAATATTATCGTTTTATTGATTGTAAAATATTTTTACACAACAAATATTGAGTAATTGTAACTGTTGCTATTGTATTAAACTAAACCGACCGTGTTTTGTATCAAAGAGTTATGTCAGCCGATAAAAGGCAATTCAATCATGCCTGTTATGATTCCTCTCTCTTATGCAAACTAACGAATTATTGTGCATCAAATGACATTGCGCACAATAACTGTGTATGAATGAAGAGCGTGATATTCGAGAGAGTAGATCGTCGAAGCGCAGCGATTCGTCATATCGCGATTTATCGTAGCTAAGAATCAAGCAGAATTCAATATGTCGTAATGGCGCGCTGCTTCTTGCCGCGTCTGTGATCTAATTTCACATTATAGCACGAAATCAGGAGCACTTGTAGTTAGAAGTGACTGGAAAGATGCTTTGATGCTATTTCCGATAAATGAAATTACTGACTGCACATAGCACAATTGACAGTTATTTGTCCGATGATTAAATTACTTATTTAAAACGTGAGATTTACGGTTAATAGAAATGTTGAAATTTACTATAAAAGTCAACTTCTAATTTATCTTATCTATTTGATAATTAATCTTATTTATATAATTTATTATATCTATTTTTTAATATTACGACCCTAATATCTATATATTTAAAGATAAAATTTCCTTTTGAAATAATTTTAATTCCATTATTTGCCCAATCTCAAGTTTTATTAAAATTTTACATTTTAGCAGCGTTATATATATTCTTAGTATATATAATATATAAACTGACTCTTTTTCGAATTTACCGATTAATAAATTAATACTCATGTGCATATTCAATGAAGCTTGATAAATCTCTAAAATATAAAGTTTAAATAAAATTCTTTTAAAGTTTTTTTTTCACTTCACGAAACAATGTCGTACGTCTTCTTCTTTGCGAGCAAAAACGAGTGGAATTCTATCGGGACGATGGCATATCGCGTTCGATAGTTTCAATTGAGAACACACAGAGAATAGTGGAACAATTTTCAAATAGCGGCACGCGCGCCGCACGCGCGGCACACGTACTATTTCACGTTTGACACCGGCGTCGTCACGCGTCGGTCTCTTCGTGTAATTGCCATGCAACGCGGGAATGCCGGGGCGGGGAGGACGACGGGATGCAGAAGAAGAGGGCAGCTACCCGGTAGTGATTTATTGCGCGCGGGGAATACAAGCGTAGCCAAATATCGATGTAAACGGTACTGATGCGTTGGAAAACTGGATTTACGCTCTCCAACGGAAGCTGTAAATAAACGCATCGCTCGAAGTGTGTGGACGTACGTTATATATACATCGCGTTATAAAACGGCGGATAAACAGGGGAAACCGGCCGATCGTCGATTCGAGACAATAGTGCACGCACGCCTATCGTTGGGTAAAAATTTCTATTTTGGAGCGATAGAAATTCTATTTTTACGCCCGTCAAACAGATCGGACTGAAAGCTCGTTGGGTTGTTTATTTACGAAAGTGTAATATTGTCAGACGTTGTGTAAGAATAGTGGATAATGACGTTTACTCGATAACGCGTGATTGACAAGATGAAAATTATCGAATTAACTTATAAGCTTAATTAAAGTTAGAGAGATAACAGCTTCGATGTTATTCCAGTTAACAACAAATGAACATCTCAATTTACAGTCTACCTATCGATCATGTAGAGATCGATCGATCATATTTTAGCGCATTCCGGATTAATACCTGATGGGTTAAATACCTGGAGGTCTATTAATAGTATCGCTGTTTGCTCGCTTCTCCTTCGATAATTCAGTGATTAGATTGTTGCTGTTAATGTATCTACGTAATAATTCAACGATATAAATGTTTAATAATGCGTATTTTTATCATGCAATGGATGCGAAATATTAACTTCCAAGTTCTACTCGTCTAATATAAGATCGTGTTCAATGTCAGCATGAGATGAAAATTAGACAGTCACATTCAGCGCTAAATATATGCAGTGGAATATAGAACAATGGTTCATATTTCATCGTACATCCCGAGCTAGATGTAAATGTCTGATTTTCGTATTATGTTGACATTTGAAACGCGATCTTCACATTAAATTTATAAAAGCCATTGCAAGTAAATGGATCAGCTGCTATAAATCTAGTGATTTATTAAAAATGTAAGCCTTGTCATATCGGATCTTTAATGACCAAAAAGACGAAACGAAAGAAAGCTAAATTTAGTAATCTTATCAGCTTTCACGCCAGCTTTGTACAATCGTGGGGGCCAAGCGAGATCTTGAAAAAAATCTAACAATAACTGCTAGCGTGACAACTTGATTTAACTCTTTCGCTGGGAGAACCGCGGTGGAGGTCTTTTCGCGAAAAACATGATTTATTGACGCAATTCGGGGCACAATTGCGAGTCGCCGACGGCAAGCTGTCGACTCGGCGGCTTGCGGGGCTGTGAATTGATCTTAAAGTCGGTCGATCGGTTGGCGCGACGACGAGTAAACGTCATAAAAAGTCACCAAACGTCGCGCGATCACCATGATTCGCGTTAAATATCGCTGGATATACCGGCACGCGAGTAAGAAATTTCGATACGGTAATGGACGGTACTGTCGGGACCGGCTGGCGTGTATGTGTGGTGTTACGCGGTCGAAGTCGATAGGCCAGCAGCAACAGCTGCCAGCAATCGTCCGTGGGAATTGGGGTGAGTAGCATGGTCGCCTCGATTCCCAAGAGTCCCGCGCCAAGTTGGACCGATATGAAATTTGATAACCTTGGGTCTTCGTCAGGACGTCGTTACGAAGAGCCCTGCGCCGCTCTTTCTCGCTCGTGTTTGTCTTCCCGTCTTCTATCGCGTTTCTTTCCCGTCGATTCTCGTACGAGACACCGATTCCGTGCCAAAATCAATTTCGATAAGTAACCGGCCGCCAATCCTAGCGAGACACGCTGACCGCGGCGTATCACTTTTGAGTAGCCCCTCCATTAGTTCTAAATCGAAGTGACACCATAATTTATTTTATCATTTTGCAGTACAGCAAAATCGATTTTCGAGGACGGAGAGTAAAAAATAATAAATGAGGACAGATCTGTACGCACGTACAAAAAAAAAAAAAAACGCCCGAAAAATTGGGCTCTAATTTACTGATGAGTCTCATTTATTCTTTCCGTATCGCGTAAAATGTAAATGTTATATAATTTTAACAGTTCTGAAATGAAATTTTAGAATTTGTACGTAGATATTTTTAGCTGCTGAATAATGCTCTTTTATATATGATATATTATAATATGTGTATTATTATAGATCTTGTGATAAAGCAGCAGAATTAATTAAATGAAAAAAGTCGAATAACCCGGCAACGCCGTACCGGGGATAAGCTTTATCCCGCTCGCAGTATAAAAGTGCTTCAGCGACGTTGCAAAGTTTTTCCCGGGGATAAAGGACCGTAAAAAATTTCATGGGTTTGAGCGGAGTCCCTATGCGCGTTTTAAGCGTTACGCTCTAAAATTCACTTCCAACATTGGCCGCGCTTCTCTTCTCTCTGTTCTTATGACGGCGCGCGATGCGATATTACAACCGTGCAAATGAATTTCAAAGGGCGCTCGGTCGCACAAGGTCGTATAAAGCGCGCGACCTTATCTCTCGGCTCGAAACTTCAGCCCTTTTCCCATCGGCATCGGAGCGACCGATCGATCGGAAGGTCCAGTAATTGTCGCGAGTCGATACTCGCCCACAGCAATACACGATTAAGTCAACATCGTCTATAATAATTTATTACATTATGT